GGGGCCCGGGCGGGTGGTTTTTAATGGAAAAGCCGCAATGAGGGCGTCGTACTCCTTCCCTCAAACCCAGCAGGGAAGGGCGTGTGGTGAGGCTGGGGCGCTGTGAGGGGATTGTCAGGCGGTTGGGTGGCGTGGGTCCGTGCTCTGCCTTGTTCCTGATGTGTTGCAGAAAGTCCCCCTCTTAGCTTTCAATGCCACGTGACTCTTCCAGCAAATGTGGAGTTTTGTCACTCTCCCATCATGGATTTGAAGCCAGGAGATGCGCAGGTCTGCTCGGTGAAGGACTTGAGTTAATATATCTGCAAAACTTGCAGCCAGGGCTCTATTAACTGTGCAGGGAATCTCATCCAAGGTGTTATTACTCCGATTGCACAGTGCTACAGTCCGTGTCCCAGGCAACAGAGGGACTGACGGCATCCAGGGCTTGCCAGGCGGATAGCTTGAATGGGTGGGCAATTCTCTTGCTTTTGGTTTCCTCACCCCAGAGCCAGACTGTGTCTGGCACATGGAAACCTTGAAACCTGCCTGATACAGGAGTTTCAGTTCATCAGGTGACTGCAAAAATAACTAAGGTTTCTTTGAAGGGTAGAAAAACCAAGAGGAGAAGAAGCAACTCCTTTTTGCAACACACATGCAGCCGTGGTGTGCACAGCAGGGCACTGGGTGGATGTGGAGTTCGGGGGATGCAGTTTTGCACATCTCTACAGAGGTCTCTGAGCATCAGCGGCCGACTCAGCTATGTATTAGAACAGCAGGGCTTCATTTTTATTTTTATGGTGGTAGGTGTGGATTTGCCGTCACTTGCAATGGGCACTCCAGTTTGCAGGATATGGATGTGGGGAAGAGATGCATAGATGCTCAGGGTTTATCACCTGAAAAATAAGGGGCTGAGTCATTGAAGAAGCTTTGCTAGCTTTAAAATAATAGATTCTATGTTTGCACACACTGCTTTCACTGCGGATTTAAACATCGGCACCAAACTGTGCTGCTGAGGCGTGGGGATGCGCTGTAGTCTACTGAAAACTTGTGCAGTGCACAGATGAATAAGAAAAGTGTGTGTGATTGTCTGGTCTTGCAAAGGAGGCAGCGGAGGGAGGGAGAGCAGAGCCACGTTTTAAATGGCAGCTTGCAATTAGATCAGGTTTAATAAGATACTGTGAAACGAGACGATTAAATTACGTCCCTTCTTCCACAAGATGCTGTTAGAGTCTAATCAGATTATTTAGATCACTTTCACTACGGGTTATGAACTGTAGCTAGCTTCTGAGCTGGAAGGTTGATGGTGTGATTTACAAAATTGTCGTGCATAGAAGGCATGGTTACACGTGCATTTTTTTGATGGCAGTTTTCTGGGTTATTTTTTCCTGCATCTTTCCTGTTTACAGACAGCTGAACAGATGTAACTAGTAAAAGAAGAGGGCAAGAACTAATCTTGAGACCCATGAAAAATTGTACTGGTTTGAAGAAATTGGTGTTCAGTTAGGTAATGAATAAGGTGGGACAGGGATGGATTGAGAGCAGCTTTGAGCAGCTTTGCTGGTGAGGAAAATTTCCATGAAAACAAGGCTGTAACCTGTCTTCGAGCAATCAAATTTTCCTCAGTGGGAGAGAAAGAGAATATTTCAAACTTTGTAGTGTTCTATTTTTTTATCTGCTCTTGAATTTAAATGCAAAAAAGCTATCGTATTATCCCAAACTCTTTAGAACTACCTCTAAGATACTAATCTAGATAGATTTCAGCTGTATTTAAATTTAAACAATATAAACTGAATCATGTAATTGCTGATTGCAGTTACTAAACTACTTTATTTTCAGGTAACTGTAGGCCGAGGATTAGACCTCACATACCAGCTGGTGTCAAAAACCTGTCCCTTGATGATCTCTCGCAAGCACTGTGTTTTCCAGCAAAATGCAGAAGGGCAGTGGACTGTCAAGGATAACAAGGTACAGAGATTGATTAAAGACCTTGTGCTCTGAGATTTGCTGAAGAGAATGCCCTGTTTGGGCTCAAATAATGTATGGACTATGATATAATAAGGTATAGGTGTGGTAGAGGTCTGTGGGAATGTGTCTTGCCTGTTTGCACTTCCAGCAGGAAGCTTCAGTCTTTTGTAATTGGGATGCAAACCATATTGCTTCTTGTATGTGGATTTGTCTCTTGGTTTAGCATTTTCCAGACAATTGTTGTCTCGCCAAGGGCACCTTGCAGTTTGTGAACCTGTTTTGTGTTGATTTCTTAAAAAAAAAAAATCGTGTGAATTTTGGCAGTATTCAGAAGGATAATGTTCTTGTACTGCTAATGAGAGGATAAACTGATACTCCTTATTGTAGTGAGACAATTGCTTTAATTGTAATCAACTGCAACAAGGATCTGTTGTTAAAAAAAACCATGCTTCATGCTATGTTCAATTCTGAAAGTCCTCCTCAGCAGATTAGAATAAAGTGCTGACATCAGAGTCCTCAGCTAGGTCTCACTTTGGCTTCAGTAATCTCTTTTTTATATTGTGCTCTCTCCACTTTCTCATTTGGGAAACCTGGAAAATCAGTAACTTGCTTTAAAACAGCACCGGTAGAACAAAAATGTTCAACCCGTCATGCAGATTTGAAGGAAGTTTGGGTCAACAGCAGATTAGTCAGAAATAAATGGAATGGCTGCTATTAAAATTACACTGCTCTTAAAGCTTGGTTGCAGTACCTGTATAAACTTGAGAACTTTACAGTTTTTGCATGACTGAAACCATCTACGGTAGATTAACTATTAACGCTTCGGGTGTGTTATCACTGCTACCATTTCGTCCGGTTGTTTTATTGAATCTCAGAGATATGTCAGTTGTTAATGATTCTGCAGTTTGTCTTGAGCACAGATCAGTTTTGCTGTGTTTTTTTTTTTTGTTTTTTTTTTTTTTTTTTTTTTTTTTTTTGCTGTTTTTCAAAACTATTTATTGAGCTAGTGCCTACTTTAAAAAACTTTTTTCTGCTTTGAACATTATAATAGCATTTTCCTTCTTGTTTGTATTCTCCTGGTATTTATGGAGAACTGTCTCTTTTTTCTTTAAGCAGTGTAAGCTATGCTCCTTTTTCTTTTCTAGCTTCTTCTTGGATTTCAGGTGACATTAATTGTCAAGAATAATTACTGCAATATTCTGTGTTCTTGACAATGATCTGTTGCAGAGTCTTTTCTTTTTGTTGGTTAGTTCTTACTTCCTCCGAAGCTTTTTGGCAGCTTTTTTTGAATTAGAGTTCATAGAATTGTATCATAGAATCACACAGTGGTTTGGGCTGGAAGGGACCTTAAAGATCATCAAGTTCCAACGCCCTGCCATGGGCAGGGACACCTCCCACTAGCCCAGGTTGCTCAAAGCGTTATCCAGCCTGGCCTTGAACCCCTCCAAGGATGGGGCATCCACAGCTTCTCTGGGCAAACTGGGCCACTGCCTCACCACCTGCACAGTGAAAAATTTCTTCCTGATATCTAATCTAAATCTGCCCTCTTTCAGCTTAAAACCGTTACCCCTTGTCCTGTCACTACACCCCCTGATGAAGAGTCCTTCCCCATCTCTCCTGTAGCCCCCTTTCAGCACTGGAAGCTGCTCTAAGGTCTCCCTGGAGCCTTCTCTTCTCCAGGCTGAACAACCCCAACTCTCTCAGCCTGTTCATTCTTTTCCTTCTGCACAAGTGCATATATTAATGTTGTTCTTAGTGCTTGTACACAAAATCTGTAATGCAGGAATAGTGCACAGTAAATAATATAATGCAATAACTGTAATAAATGGGACACTGAGCCAATATGTTGGATATTGCAAGGTTTATTTAAAGAGGTGGCTTGTTCTGATTGCAACACTGAAGAGGTTGGATATGTTTACAGTTGCCAGAAATAATTTGCTGAGGACTCTGTAACTGCTTATCAAATTTTGTTGGTTCTCTGTTCATTTGCAGAGTCTAAATGGAGTCTGGCTTAATAAGCAGCGCCTGGACCCCTCAAAAGTGTATCCTATCGCTGAAGGAGACCGTATCCAGTTGGGAGTGCCTTTGGAAAACAAAGAGACTGCTGAATATGAGTATGAAGTAATTAAAGAAGAATGGGAGAAAATCAGACCCTTTTTAGCCCAAAGGAGTGACCTGGGAAAATATAAGAGTTCAAGAACTAAACGTAAATTTAGTTTGGAGGAATCGGAGACATCTGGATCGGAAGGCCCTTCAAACTCCAGAACCAAAAGAGACAGAATGTCCTTTGACAATGAACATTTGGGTGAATCATGGGGAAGGGTAGAAGAGGCCAAACAGTTAACAGAGAAGATGGATGTCAAGCTGCCTTCTCCTGGACCAAGTGAGGAGGACAGTGGTCCAGTGCACAGTAGCCCTGTGTGCTCTGACAAAGCTGTGCCTGTCCCCCTTAAGGACCAGAAAGGCTCTGGACTTGCACAGTCATGGACTGGCTTGGGAATGCTGAGGAAAACTCTAGTAGATATAATGAAGTTAAAGGTCAAAGTGCAGGAGAAGCAGACAGCCGTTCTGAACATGAAGCAGAAGCGCAGGAAGAGTGCCCAGAAGGAGATCCAGGCAATGGAGGAGGAGCTGCGGGCGTTGCAGGACCAGCTATGCACGGAACAAGAACATCATCAGCAGCAGGTGGAAGAGCTGGAGAGGACCTTCTCTAAAGAGCGGCAGAAGCTAGAGGTATAATGGTGGTAATCTTTTGGCCTGTCTCTTTTCATTTTTATGGAATGCCTACTATAAGACATTGATCCAAAGTAAGATCTTGAACCATATGGTAACAAAAATATAATGTTTCTGTGAATCAATCCTGTTAAAATTGTCATGGAATTATTTCATTTCCAGGCATGTGTACCAAAAGAAATTGCAGAGACAGAAGGGATTGAGCTGCGTGGGGAATTAGGAAAAGGTGCAAAATGATTTTTTTTTTTATAAACAGGTTCATTACAGCAAGGTAGTAAAGCACTTCAGTTAGTAAAAAAAGTGTGTTTTACAATAAAAATGAAAAGCGTCTGCCTGATTTCCTGTAGTTACAGAGAGGCTCAGCTGAAAAGTATTCACCTTAAGTGTGAATTTCTCTCTGGTATATGGCTGAATATGCCCAGTTCGCATGGGAAATCCGTTCCCTTTCCAAGCAAGTGAATTGTTGTGTGCCTTAATCCCTGGAGGGAGGGAAACTTCTTGATTTCGTACTTTCAAAAAAACCCTTTTTTGCTGTCTGCAAGAGTCTTCAAACCATATGTGTATGTTGATAAGTAGCTCTTTTAGATAACAAACTGAAGTCTTTCTATTTGAGTTTGCTCAAAAACTGGTTACAGGAAGTAAGAATTCATCTTAGAGTCAGTTTCATAATGTATCAATTACTTCCTTTAAAGTCTCCTGCTAATGGCAAGATACCTGTATCACAAGGACAGGAATCAGGAGTTGTGTGCTTAGGCACAGGGGGAAGTTCAGCTGGAGCTGTAGGAATGTCTGACCACTTTGAATGTGCTCGAAGATAGGGTTGCAGCTTTTTCTCATGCTGAAGTTGTTGCTGACCTCCTTGCTGCTAGGAACCTGCCGGTGGCTTTACAGCTAGAATAACCTGGAGGTGTTCCAAGTATGTAACTGGAAACGGTGTATCCATTTTAACTCTTGACAGTAAACGAGGGCTCTAATTTCTGTTGTACACATGTAACACTAGAGGGACATCTCAGGGTTTCCGGAAAACCAGTGTTGTTTCTTGAAGCACGTCCTCTAAAGAGAGTGTGCAAAGTAGTAATTTTCTGTCTCTTGCTTTCTTCAAGTGTCTTTTTTTTTTTTTTTCCCTCTAACAGTTTTCTTCCAGCAAAAAAGTCTTATGGTTTGTTTCTTTTTTTTCCTCAGGGAGTAAAGTGGCAACATGGGGAAGAGAATCTGAAGGAGCAGCTGGCCCAGGTCCTGCAAGAGGCAAGTAGTTATGGGTCCAGATTTCATCTAACAGTGTATCTTGGATATTTAAGTATTTCTTAGTGCTGTGGCCTCTTAGTGGAAGACTAAGACTTTGCCTCAGGTGCAGATTGGATGAGCTTCATGTACAGACCAAATTTATGTCAGGAAGTGGCAGGTATCCTTTTATGGGAGTTGCTGTTTTCCAGCAAATATTGTGAGAACATGCATTCAGATTGAAAGCAGTAAGTAGCTGCAATGATTTTTATTTGAATTGGGTCCTTGGACTGGTGGGCTTTTCTGTGAAGTCTGTCTGCTAGGTATCTGTTTTGGGGAAGTTGTTTTGGCAATTTTAACCAGATGAAAAAAAAGTCACTCTTTGTTAGGAATGTTTTTGGAAGAGATTGCCACACATTTAGGTTTCCTAGGCTTTTTTTCAAAAGGCCTTTCCTTTTGGAAAGCTAATCTGAAAACAGCTTCAGGTAACCCTTCATACAGTGACAGGTTTTTGTGATTCTTATGTGTCAGATACGCCTTGATACTCAGATATCTCACATGCACTCAAAATGGTGACCGTAAAACCTAACTGAAATGAAGGAGGAACCTGGGAGAGGGAATAAGAAGTGCCATGACACTGGGAAGCTCATGAATAAATGGCACGACATTCCAATTTTAAGTTAAGGCTAAATTGCCTTAGCACTCCAATTTATATAGACGTCTTGCCCTTTTAGGAGGAGATTAGGAGGAATGAGTATGCTGAACCTCATGATTATATCCATGTATATGTAATAGGATAGCTGATAATGGCACTTTTATAATTTCTGGCTTGCTATTGTTACAGCATCATGCTTTGATGGAAGAACTGCGCCGTAGTAAAAAAGATTTTGAGGAGATAATTCAAGCCAAGAATAGAGAACTGGAAGAAACCAAGGTAAAGAATAACTGAATTCTCAATTTTATTCATAAGTGAAACATAATATGCTGCAGCAGAGGAAGAGGTTTGTTTAACATTTGTTTTTGACTGTACTTTGCCTCCTGTAGTGAAAAACTCCTGTATTTTGAGGTGGCAGCTGACTCTAGTTTCCAGGACTTGGGGGGGGGTACACCTTGCCCTGTTCATAAAGTAGTGTTGAACAGTCATTGCTAGATATTTCTTAATCATAAAGAAAGCCCAAAGCACCTGAACGGTGTGTAAGGCAGAAGTGGGCCCATTCTATCCTTTCTTTAAAAAAAAAAGTGTGTTTGAAAAGTCAGGTGCTTCGTTTTCAGTTAGAGTGCATTCAGGTAAAACTGCAGTGTGTTCCAGCTGTCCTACAACCGAGTGTAGGACTGAAGCAACATGGAAGTTGAATAATGAGTGAGATAAGCCACACTTCTTCCTGCCCTTGACACATGGTGATGAGTGGAAAATAATTGAGGAGATCCTTTCCTGTGTCTTACTCTTGGAAATTATCACATTATCCAGCTCTGGCTGGTTTGCTTTATGGCTGTTTTATGTTGTCTTTGCAACTCTGTTGCTGTTTCAAGTATAGCTTCAATTGGAAGAATTTCTCTATTATTTTTACAAGATAGAACAGGTATGTCAGAGCTTAATTTAACTCCAAACAAAAAAAAATACTGGGCAGTTAAATGTGGGTAAATGTTTTAAGTTCTTATGCTTCCTTTTTTTTTTTTTTTTTAAATATTTGAGGTATTTTGTCTCTTGAGCATTTTTATCTTTGCATCAGACATAGAAAGAATTGTTTTGTTGGTTTGAGCCCAGCTCATGCCAGGAAGAGGTTGAAAGAGATCTTGAAAAGATGGATCCAGCTGGTAGTTTCTTTAGGCTGAAGGGAATTTGGTAAAGGCTGCTGTTCTTGCTTGTAAGTTCTCTGCAGTGGGTGGGAATATTCTCAGTACTGCCGTGACTACAAAGAGGAGAGAGGTTATAGATTGTGATATGTAATACTTGACCTGTGGAGACTTGCCATTCTGCTTCTACTCCCTTCCCCTGCACATGCCCATCCTGCCAATATTCTATCGAGTAAAACCTTGTTCTTTGTTGATATGTGGACATACTATTTTTCCCCTAGGAGGAGAAGGAAAAGGTGAGGGCCCAAAAAGAAGAGGTGTTGAATCAGATGAATGAAGTGTTGGAGAATGAGTTGCAGTGCACAATCTGTTCTGAGCACTTCATCGAGGTATGTTTCAACTGGTATGGGTTTGCCAGTGAAGAACAGACTTTTCCCTAGTTTTGTTAAAGCAATAGTCAAGCTTATTTCTTTACTTCACTCATTTACCAGTCCCAACAGACCCACAGTGAGTCATGGGTAAGGTTTGGTCCAGAAACCCATTCTGTCTGCCCTAAATATTCTTCTGGGCAGCAAGTTCAGCTGTAGTGTCTCTACCTGCACAGAGGTGAGCAGTAAATTCTGAGATGCATATAGGCTTGCAGCAGTTTTGGGTGGTTTTGAACTGGTGCTCTGAGCTGCTGCTGAGAGCCTGCTTGGGAAAGAATCATTTTGCAGTGGACCTTGCTTTAAGTTGACTAGAGTTGGACTGCTTCGGGTTTAGATATAGGAAGAGGTTAGTAAGAGAAGGGTGGTGTAGTGTTCAGTCAAGTCCTGAACCGTTTATTTTGTTCAGATAAACTCTTTCTTTGAGAAATTGGCTTGCTTTAATTTGATTCTAGAAGTGATAGGCTGTGCCTGAAATGTAGACTGTTATTTCTGTTTGTGTTTTGCTAGAACTTTCATTGTATTAATTTCTGCTACAGGAAACCTGGTGAGTTAGCCTTGTTATAATGACTTAAGAGGTAGCTGAAATTTTAATTTCTGCTTTCTCAGCAATTTAAGATGCAATTCTGTAGTATCTGAGTTTTTCCATAATTTATCCTTTTCAAATTGTGGAAACTTAGAATTAATTCTTTTTGTCTGTGTTTCCAACTTGCTGTGTCCATTAACCAACTTGTAAAACTTCTCTGTCCTCTAGTACAGGAGAGTTATTTTATGTGTAACCCTTACAAAGGCTAAACAAGAGGGCTCTGGGATTCCCTCCCATATAGAAAGTGTTTATCTACTGTTTTTCTGACTTTTTTTTTCTTGACAATGCTTCTGTGAGCATGCACTGATAAGTATCCTTCCCTCAAATTCCACAGGCGGTCACTCTGAACTGTGCGCACAGCTTCTGCTCCTACTGTATCAATGAATGGACGAAACGTAAAGTGGAGTGTCCTATCTGCAGGCAGGAGATCAAATCCAAGACACGCTCTCTGGTGCTGGATAACTGCATTGACAGGATGGTAGAAAAACTGGATGTGGAAATGAAAGAGCATCGCCTGAGCCTTATCAGAGAGCGGAAAGGTGAGAGGTGGGTGGATGTGGCATGATGAGTACAATCTCTCATTCCATCTATTTTGTACAACTTTCTTTGGCACCTATATACCAAGGAGATGCTATATACCAGCAGAAGCACTAGAAAATTAATTTTAAGATACCTTGTGTATCTGGCTTTACTGCACAGTAACATAAAATCAATAAAAAGTTTGAAAAAAATACTTTAGTATGAATTCTGCAGTTGAGCAGGACAGCTTAACCATGCTAAAGGTTACACTGGTTCAAAGAGATCACTAAATAAAGGCAAAAGTATATAGGATGGGCCTTGAAAAATTTACCAGGCACTTTTTGATTAAACTACTGGCTACATCATTGCAAAAACTCAGCAGAGCAGTGCCTGATGAGAAACTCAATTCTCTTCTGTGCTAGATTTGTGTAGGAAATCTCTGAAGGGAATGTTGGTGTCTCATGGAAGTGTATGGCTGAACTGGCAGTTGCTCTGCTGTGTTAATTTTTGTGGAATTAAAGCCACCATGGTTTAAATGCATAATCTCTGCCTAATGGTAGCTAAAAGACTGTGATGGAGATGGCTTTAAGTAAAACTCCAGTGTGGGGTATTCCTATTCTGCTTCACTCTTCCAGATTTTTTTTCTTGAGAATTTGACACTGGTATCTAGGTGCTGAAATGCAGACATTTTTTCTGCTATCCCTTAATAAATTTCTATTGCTGTGTTCCCTTAAGTAATTGGCTTGTTTTCCTCTTCATAGGGGTGAGTGCATGATCCTTCATTCTGCAATGTGTCAAGCCTATTACCTAATGAACGATGGTTTTGAAACATTTCAGATTCTTCACAGGGACACAGAATGACATTGCTAAGCAGTGTTAGGTGGTAATTTCAGGTCTGAACTATTTAACTAACTCATAGCCTACCTTGATATGTGATAGATGCTCTAATTATACAAATAACTATTAGTGGGAAATCCTTTAGCTTCACCATGACACACTTCAGGAGGAAGGCTTAATTGTTTCTGTGCAGTCTTATTCAGTGATGGAAACATTTTGATTGAGAATATTAATGTTTAAATAGACACATGGCTTCCTAAGGAGAGACCAGCTGGAAGAGAAATAATGATGCAAGTGGTGCTTGCGAAGCTCAGTCAGAGCTTCCCATGAAGCCTTTCCAAGAGTCTTAGTAGAATGGGCACCAGTGGGACAGCTTGGTCTCCAAAATGTATGGAGGTTTGGATGAGGCTCTAGGTGTCCTGAACAAGCATTTCTTGTTTTTGAGGGCTCCTTACCACATTTTGTTCCTTCTCTCTTTCTTACCTGGCACTGTACTAGTTAGCCACTTCCATTGCCAACTGTGTGCCAGTGAAGGGATGGAGAATGTCTCCTCCTCATCTGTGCTGTCTTAACAGGAAAAGACATACAGGAAACTTAAGAAAACAAACAAACTTCCTTTGGTCTTCTAATGCTGAAAATTGAAAAGAAAAAGGCCTATGCCCTGCAGCTTGAAAGACCTGTTGCAAACTGAGAGGGAGAGGCTGTAGGGTTCTGAGAGAACTAGTTAAATGTAGCAGTGTTTCTGGGTACAGTGGTCACTGCTAACTCTTGTTATCTGTGTGTTTTGAATGCAGAGAAACAGCATGTGTTGGTGAAACCAGCCACAGACAATGACAGCAGCGTCATTTCTTCCATCTACCCCATCTTGTCAATGAGCAGGTGTGACTGTGAGGAGGATTCTTACCACAATGAAAGCTACCACATGATCTAAAATAAACACTGTTACTGCAGGCTCCTTTGCCTGTATGTTGCCCAGAAGCAACCCAGTGGTGTACGTTTGACTACTGCTGGCTGAGTGAACTGGCCATCTGGAAGGGGAGACTCTGTGAAGAGGCTGGAGCTGAGAACTAGCAGCATTTGGAAGAAACACTTTATTTTTTAAATGAATATACAGAAGCTTGATCTCTAAACCAAAATTGTGATTGTGAGAGAACAAACTGCCCTTATGCTGGATGGTTGACATACAAAACCTAGGCGTCCATGATTGCTTGTGACCTACTCGGTGTAATGTCATAGTTTGTATCCATCACTGCCCTTTCCCTAGTGAATGACACGTTTAAATGTGTATGTCATCTTCTCTTATTTCAGGCAGCAGAGGGAATGGCCCAAGCTATTTGAGAACTTGGCCATCCCTGCTAGCAGGAGAGGTATATCAGGAAAAAGTGCCAACATGGGTTTTCCTCTTGAATTTAATACGGCAGCCGGAGTCACCCCAGGTCTCTGTCAGGAAAGGTAACAAAGAGGGGGTTATGCACCCCGTCAGCCTTCAGCGCTTAAATGCGTTGTGAGATGAGCTGCCAGCCATCCATTTCATCTGTTGACGTTACTCATTTTCTGTTAGTTAGGGATGGAGAAGATTATATCTTCCAGATTTCTTAGCTAGTGTTCTTTTCATACAGTATCTCTGGTTTGTTCCCTCTTCAGGCTTTTGCATAAAGGGACTTAGAATTGGGAAGCAGCGCATCCAGAAGTTATTAGCAATGACTTCAGAAACACATACAGATCTTGTCAGCAGCAGAGAGAAATCTCCGCCTCTCCGCAAGTGCTGCTGTATGAATTTGTGAAATGTCCTGTTGGCAGGGTAGGAAAGCAGCATCTGTAGGCAACCACAAGGTACAGAAGGAAGCATTTAGTTTTATTGTTTACAAAAGATTGCTGTTGAGCCATGGGTCGTACTGCCCTCACAGCACATCAGTCATCCCTAAGAGGCTGAGCAAGTCTTGCCTCATCCTATCACGATTTTGTCGATGAAGTTCCATTTTCAGTGGCACATGCTTTTGACTTAGCTGTTGCATGGAAAGGACTGTTTTACACTGTGAGAAGAGGATGGGGGAAGCCCTTCTCATCTGTAATATTTCTTTGGCCATTTGTATGTACTTTCTTGTTTCTATGTTTATTTTGTTTAAGAAGGAAAATATAAATCTGTTTCTGCATTAGTCTTCCTTGGTGCAACCACTGAGATGAATGTCTCTTAGTTGTCTTAATTTTTTTTTTTTTGAGAAGACACAGACTATCTCATTTTAATGACTTTGCTTCATGTTTGATTGCTCTAAGCAGTGTGACTTATTTTAAAGTTATTTGAAAGACTTGGGTATTCAGGAATTGATATAAGACAACCCAACTCTTCAAACCTGTGGCTACCCTAACGATAATTTAGTACATACAGTCGTACCTCTTGTATCTTTTTCCACTAAAGAAAGATCCCATTTAAAAAGGTGCATGAATGATGGTGTTGTCCGAAGGAAGTTGTGTGTTCTGACAGATTTGATTGGCAGGACCTAAACAGGGGAGGTAGGTCTGATTTGTGGGCCAGGCAACTTTCTCAAAATCTTAGTGTAACATTTATCTTGTGAAGGAGCCGTTACATCTTGAGTTTTCCTCTTTCCCCTTTAATGGTCATTTTCTGTATGGGCTCTTGGAAGTTTCTTTTGTGACTGTATCCTCTCTAGGATGTCCGAGAGAAGAGAGTTCCTCAAAACTCTTGTGAAATAGCCTGACATGGGAACAGGCATTTCTAATGGAGTAGGAGGAAAATACTCCGTTCTCCAGGACTGCACATTCTTCTGCTGTGTATCTCTTCCATGTTGCTGTGCTTTCTTTGCTCGTTTAATTTTGCTAAATGTATTTATTTTGTTATATTGGTGTCTATGCGTATTGCAGAGAAGGATAATGTTTTTCCTAGCGACTGAGTAGTTCTTTGGTGTGCTGAATTTGTCATCTTGTCACTAGAATTTGAAGAATGTAAGTGGTATACCACACCTTTTCCACTGTTACCAGTAGGTACATAGCGTGTAAAGGTCCAGGGGGAGAGGCTAGTAACACTGTTCACTTACAAAAGCATTTCTCTGACAAAAGCAGACCTCTCCTCCCAGTTCCTCAGTAAAACTATGATCAGATACAGAGCTGCTGACTAGACATACAGTGTTCCAACTATTGAGCTTCTGGAAAAGATGCCCAACAGTTCTAATACTCCTTTGGTCTAATGTCTGGGTCCTTTCTCCTTTTTGTACATCTGAATGTCCGCTTGGAGCTGTCATGCCCTGACCCGTTATCTGTCCTGGCGTGGCCTCGACACCCAGGGTTTTGGTTACAACTCTGAGCTCCTCACCGTTGATGCACATTCAAGACTCGCTGCTTTCTGTGGGGAGATAGCTGTGATGAAGTGTGACAGCCAAACACTTTCACAGCAATATACTGCTGATCAGCAGCAGCAGGCGGAGCTGGGAAGGAGCTTCTCCTCCTCCCCATCATTTCAGTGGATTTTTTTTTTTTTCCAAAACTATGCTTTGGCAAGTCCCTGTTCTGCTCCCTGCTCCTATTCTTCCCTCCTCACACTCCCTTTCCCTGTAACTCCACCTATTTAGATACATAGCCTCCAGCAATTAGGTAATAATAAATTGCTACTAATTTATTATTAATAATAATAAAGGCCTGAGGAGGGCCTGCGGCTGTGGAAAAAGCTGTTTTTCTTAAAAAAGTGCCATTTTTAAGGCAGGAGCTGAGTTATTTCTGTGTTTATCTACACTACAGTGCAGAAATCATGCACATATATAATATTTTTCACATAATTTCAGTGTTTTCACCACTCCAC